GTTTATCTACAGTTAGTTATACAAATTCATATATGGGATGAAATCGTTTAGGGATGAACGGGTTTAAGAGTTTTTAAAAGTTTTAGCCAAATGCTTTATAAGATAGTATAGATAATTGTTTTTTTAATTCAACAAGAATTGTTTGTTATACATAATACTTCATAATATTTGGTTTTTTTATATACAACTTAATAAACTAATTAAACTATTTATAATTTTTTAATGACGAGGCATTCTCCAGTCCAATCCGATTATGCATGAATTGCATTTTCCGATCCGCTTCCGTATGAAAAAAACTCGACCAAAATTACTATATGCAAGTAGAAGTAAATTACTAGTGTAGATAAATTGCCAAAAAATTGAAAAAATCGTATAACTTATAAAATAAAATACGTATAATAAAACCAAAAAAAAAGGAAAATGATAAAAAAATGTAAAAAATCAAAATACCTTTTAAAGTTAATCAACTTTATTGACTAGAATTATATAGAAAAACCAAAATTAGAAAAATATGATAATTAATTATAATTAATTTAAAATAGAGACCAAACTGTTAATGAATGAAAACCATACAAATAAAAAAATATAATTAACTCTAAGAGGCCGTTTACTAAACGCTTATTTAGTCAGTGTTTACCGAATAAATTTCCTTATCAGATGAACATGACAAGGACAAAGATCTTATCGGGTAAGAGTGATGAGTAGGATGGAAAGACTTACCCGGTAAGTGAAAATTACGACTCTTACCCAGTAAATTATTGTATTCAATACGTTTTGATATACTAAAATCTTATTTGTCAAAATAAATTATAATATTGAATCTTATAGGTAAGCATTTACTAGATTAGCATATGTGTAAATAACACCTAACTAAAAGAAGCATGAAAATGAGCGGATGTGAAAAAGATATATAGTTATTTTTGAATAATAATAATAAAAGAAATATGAAAATGACATGATACAGTGAAGTGAACACGTGTGCGGAGGAGGCAGAAGACGTGGCATAGAAAGGCGGTTGAACCGAAATGGTAGTGCCACGTAAGACAAGGATGGCGGGAAAACCAAGCAATCCTATTTTATTGGGGGAAGGAGACCCACCCACTCATCACCGCTACCACTTCCACTACTCAAATATATTTTATATTAAATAAATATATTATAAAATATAAATTATGTTAATAAATCAATTCATTATTTTAAGGAAAAAACATTACATCAGCACTATACTTAATGATTAATTAAACGGCAGCAGTCACCAAGTGTTTTGGAATTGCATTGGATCACTTCTTTTC